ACCCAAACAGGGGCATGATGGATGTCACACCAAGGGCTGGCAATAAAGAACTGACTGCGGTGGGCTCAGACTGCATCGAGAGATCACTAGTCTTAAGGCCTGGTTCACACCTGAGCATTTTTACGTGCGGATCTACGCAAGCAAAACACTCATTCACATTCAAGTGAATGGCAACTGTTCACACCTTAGCGTTGCACGAAAAGATGCAGGAGCTATTTTTAGGCAGATGCTGCGTGGCTTTGGTGCCATAGACTTTTTCCCCCATCATTTAAAACTACCAAAGGTAATGTGTGTATCAATTGTTGTTTCATGGTTTTCTTGTTTATTTCAGAGTTTGTTGTATGATTACAGCATTTTTTTCCTTTTGCATGCATGTCTTCCTAGCATAGTGAACTATGACCTCAGACCTGCAACTGTGATCCCAGCATGCATGTGGCATGCCAAGTGCAGGGATCCATACTCAAAAATGCAACACACTAAAAAACAGGAACCTAGATCATGGATGTTTCTGCTTCTCATTGGACGCCTGTACATCTCTATGCCGGGAGAAACCGGCACTGACGCGCATTTTTAAAACCAAAAAAAAAAAACACAAAAAAGTAGCGCAAAACTGCATGAAATAAGCACAAAAACTGCACAGGCTTAGGTCTGAACCTCCCCTACTTCACAAGAGGTGCCACAAATGGTGCAAAGTTGCCACAACTAAAAATTGCTTTCAAACTTGATTTTTTGTTTAAAGTTTGTGGGTGGAAAACAACATTTACCCAGAGATGTGCTTTAGAGTCGCAGTGTCCAAGATTCACTTCCCAGGCCTTACCTCTGTACCTGCTGATTCAAATGATCCGAAACGAGCAAAAGCTCAGACTATTCAGTGTTCACTGGCTGCAGGTATGTTACACGTCGGTGACTTGAGTAGGGAAGACATGATTGGGATCACAGCTCTGGAATCCACAACCTTGGAACACTAACAGACTCCTTTTTTTGTTTGTTTTGGGCCTGGCTCCTTCTACAAAAGTCAAGTCATTGACTTCTCACGAGCCAGCAGGGCCACCCCGCTGTTAGAATGTCAGCCGATTTGCTGAAATCACCTAAAATTCTAAAAGGGGTATGGCCAGCCTAAAGCTGCCCATAAACTGTTCTATTTATTTTTTCCCATGCAGGCCGCGGGTTCAAAGAAAAAAAAAACAAATAGAACAGATTCCACCATCAACGCTTCCGAGCATTGATCGAGGAATCCCCCGCTGTTTTTTTTTATTCCGACGGTGGCTGTCGGCTTATTTGGCTGCCGGCTCTTTTTGTTCAGAGATTTTCCAACTGACTCCTTCGATCAGCCAACAGCAGCTTCCAATGTGCGGATTTCTAATCCAGGGGTAGCCAAACTCTGGCCCTCCAGCTGTGGTGCAACTACAAATCCCATGAGACATTGCAAGATTCTCACAGCCACGACTCCCAGAGAGAGATGCATCATTTGTAGTTTCACCACAGCTGGAGGGCCGGAGTTTGGCTACCCCGGTTCTAATCTATGGCCAGCTTTAGTCGGCTTCCACACAGGTTTGATGAGAGAGTTGCTGGTCAGCTTAAGGGTATAATGAGGGTGCAACGCAGAGTGATCATACGCTTTAGAGTACACAGAACTAAAAACACAGTAACCTCAAAAAAGCTCTTATTTGTGACACTCCATAAAAAACATCCAAGTCGCTTTGGTACGTGAATTGTTACAGGCAGTGGTAATATTTGTTTATAGCTTGGGAGTTAATCTACTGAAACTAAATGTAAATATTCTTTTGTGATCGTTGACTTTTTTAAACGGGTGATCGATTCCATGCAAAACAATGTCAAATTCTAAAACCTGAGCCGCACTTCCTGTTAAAGGATTTCTTAAGACTACAGCGCCACCTTGTGGGACTTCACACTTATGCACATGAAATCTGATGGTGAAAAATCAGCAAACAGTAAATATAGGTTCCATTTAAGTCTGAGTGCATCCCCCATATAGTCCTAAGAAGACTATTCTAGGGAGCCGGGACAGTTACCAGCCCCTGGTAAGCTGTGTAGAGGAATATATGGAGAATGTCTACCAGAGAAGAGAACCAAGGCAACCAATGTCCAGCAATGTCGTGAATCTTACCAGGACAGGAAGTGATGGGGAATCATCAATGGAGGCACAAACAGCAATAGCACTTAACATTACCCTTCCTATCATGAACCAAAAGTTTTGGCTGGCGTTCCCCTTCAATTTCCAATTCAACTTTTAGTTTAAAATCAGCTAAGCACATTCCAGGCCCATCAAAACAAATGGCGTGAAAAACCTTACCGTTCTTTGCAAAGAAGCCCAGTAGAAAAGCTTGCCCCTTGCCAGCATGCTGCAAAAAAAAAGGTCCCCTGATCTGTGTGGAAACAGTGGTCTCTCTGCAGAGGTCCAAAACATGTCCTGCTAGATTCAGAGGACTCCAATCAGCAGGGAGCATGAGTTTTGCTGATTGCATAGCAATAGAATCTGACTTAGCAGGGACATGTTAGACTTCTGCAGAGACCACTGCTTCCACACAAAGAACACAGGTCCTTCTGCTTCCACACCAAGAGCACTGCTTCCACACCACTGCTTCCACACCAAGAACACAGGTCCTTCTGCTTCCACACCAAGAGCACTGCTTCCACACCACTGCTTCCACACCAAGAACACAGGTCCTTCTGCTTCCACACCAAGAGCACTGCTTCCACACCACTGCTTCCACACCAAGAGCACAGGTCCTTCTCTGAAGCATGCTGGCACGAAACAAGTCTCCTCTTCTCGGGCTGTGGTTGCCATCTAAGGAATGTAAACCATATGCTTGTTTCTATGAACCTGGAATGCATTTAGACAATTACACTGCAAATTCAGTTAGTCTTTAGGACAAGGGTGGACAAACATGGAATTCAGGAGCCAGTCCAATGAAAGTCCAGGAACCAGCAGGATTTTTTTCAGGAGCCAGCTCCATTGAAAACAACTGGAGAAAACCTCAAATCCGTGAGCCAGGTCCAGGGATTTGGCCAGCCCTGCTTTAAGACAAACGCTAAAAAATTTCCTGCCATACGCAGAATGAGCTGCAGCTCTGACATAATTTGCTGTCAAATAAAAAAAAACAAAAAAAAACAAAAAACTGTTGAACAGGTAAAAGGAAGAAAAACAAAACAAGAAAAAACAAACAAAACATATGTAGCAAAATGTATCTATTTGCAATTTATCACTTGTATAAATTTGTAAATGTATTTACTTTCACTTTTTAACCGTTTCCTGAATGAAAGTTCAAGTTAGAAATGCTCAATAAAAGGTTATTAAGTCCAAATCTAAACATGGCAATCTTACTCTCTGCAGTGTTTTTATACATTTATTTTTTATTCATAATATCATTGGTAATTATATTATAATTATTGCAAGGCTATAGTCAGGTCATGCTGACTGGTGAAATTTTTGACTGACTGGTGAGACACCGCCAAATTTTTCAAGCCCTGATTATAAATATGTATTAATGTATACTATAATCAAGGCATGCCTCTGATAAATGTAATAATGACCACTGTGCTTATGTCCTCTCTCAACCCAACTTTCAAGCCTTTAAATGGCTGGTGTTATAGCTGATCACATGGGCAGCGCCAAGGCAACGGTAGATCTAAATGGAGGGAAAATGGTAGCCGCCTCAGCTGATAGGGGTCTACTTATAAACAGGGGTCAATCGCCTTGCACATATCTGTGAACAATTTTTTGGGTGAACAACTGCAAAAACAAAATGTTCTTGAAAGGAGAACTATGAGGTGAGTGCTTTTCACTCACCTCATAGTTCTAGCCGACCTGTGACAATGAGACTGTCACACGTCGGCTCAGTAGATCGAACACATACCGGCGTTCACTCACCTCTCGATCCTGTCACGGCTCTCTGCCGTGACAGGGGAGGGGCTGGATTCCCCGCTCCGATCTGCCAGCGCTGACTGGCGGATCGGGAGGGGGCGGGTACAGCTGGCTCTGCCTCTAGATAGGCAGAGCCAGCTGTCACTCACACAGCTGGGCGGATCCAGACATAATTGTCGTGATCCGCTTCAGCTGCGGCGGTATACTGTGGCGTCTCAGTATACCGCGAGCTTTAGCTCGCGGTATACTGAGCTAAGGGTGACGGGAGTACGCTAGTTTGTGTCCTCCCATCACCCTGGGAACTATGGGGAAAAACCCTAACCCCATAGTTCTCGTTTGATATATTTTCTTTGCCGGTTGAATGTATTATGATGCTATAGCGCAATATGGTCACTAGATGGAGCTGAGGACAAGAAACATTCTTGTTCCTACGCTCCATCTAGTTACCATAATCAAGTGTTACATTACCTGTAAAAAAAAAAAAAAAAAAAAAACCACAACAACAAAATGCTGGAAGGTAGAGATTTCTTGGCAGAAAATATGCAAAGCCTCTTTTGCAAGGGAAGAAAAATAAAAAAAAAACTTCCTTTCTCCCCAAGTGATTTTTTTCACTTTCTGTGTACACTGTATGGCACATGCGCCATGCAGTGTGCATACTCACAGGATCTCATGAATTAGTGATGCCGGGTGGGATGCGACTCTTGTGCACATGAGAAGTTACATCATTGCTATCAAAAGGGCCGAAGAGGACCACCGAGCACCCGAAAGTGTCAGGGTAAATAAATTTAATATACTTCACGAGGAGAAGGTGCGGTTCTTTTTGTTTGTTTTGCATGTATTTGAAGATTTCCCTGTCGGATGCGGTCTGCTGCCTTCCTTCAAATAGACCATTAAAGTTTAAAGAGAGTGATGATCCACTGTCAGCGCTGACTACTATATGCATGTGAGGTTATGAAAATACCCCATAGTGTCTTTGAAGAGTTTAAACATACTCGCGCAGAAATTAAAATTGTATAAAATCCCTGTAAACATTTTTTCCAACAGTGTGTATTAAAAGGTGGCACGTTCAGTGAAGCTCCTGGGAACGACGGATTTATACAACACAAATACTTACTGCCCGTTATCAATGTTGGTGTTTTGGGCCAGGTTCAAAGCTGCGATTTTCATGAGATTCTAAAAGACAAGGAACACACAGAGATCATAAAAAACATGTGCAGGTAATGCAACCCCACTACACAGACACTAGGCCTGACCCATCAGAACTGCCAATTTGTCACATTCATGTAGACTTGTACTGTATTGTAGATCACATTCCTCCACTCACCCAAGCAGCTTTCTCAGCGCTAACGGCCATCAGGAAAATGCATGACAAATCATCCTCAAAATTGCAGCACAAGGCCAGTGGAATGTGACTAATGACTACTCCCTATACCGGGGTAGACATCCTGGCACTCCAGCTTTCCTGAAACTACAAATCCCAGAATGCCTCTGCGAGTCATGCCTGTGGCTGTCAGTCTTGCAATGCCCGATAGGACTTGTAGTTCCACAACAGCTGGACCACCAAGGTTGCCTACCCCTTAGCTACACCATGACCTGGTTAAATGAGAACCTTCACAGACCATGCAGGTCAGAAAGTAAAGTTTGACTGAATTGCTGAAATGATTTTCTTTATGCAGGTTTGTTGTGCTCCATCAGCTTTCATCCCGGGAGCCCAAACAGTGGCCCTTTGACACTTATTGTGCAGCCCTCAGGGCCCCTGTAGACCAAAGTCTGTCCTTTCCTTACCTATGTGCTTACCAAGATCAGTAAAAGCGAAATATTCGTTAGACTGGCTTCTATTAAACTGCTTGCTTTATTTATGTGCCGTCCATCCCATTTCTCTTCTAATGCTTTATTTCTCAGATCTTATAGAATGGATGTTACTGAGAGAAATAGCAAATGTGGCTCGTCATTCCAAAGGGGATTGTAGGGAGCCCACATGTGGAAGCAGTGATATGTATAGTTTACAAAACTGATCTCTAGAAGTCTTCTGAAATGTCCCTAAGAATGGTCCTAGTCCCCGGCCGTCTTCCAGCTCCACGCCTGCAGTCCCCGGCTAGCTCCAGCTCCACGCCTGCAGTCCACGGCTAGCTCCAGCTCCACGCCTGCAGTCCCCGGCTAGCTCCACGCCTGCAGTCCCCGGCTAGCTCCACGCCTGCAGTCCCCGGCTAGCTCCAGCTGCACGCCTGCAGCCCCCGGCAGTTTACTGCGCCACGCCTGCAGGTCTCCCGCGCCACGCCTGCAGTCCCTGGCTAGCTCCAGCTCCACACCTGTAGTCTTGGAATATCACCCATAGAAGTCTGAAGTCTCTGACCATCTCCTGTAGCATGCCTGCAGTCTCTGACTATCTTCTGTATGATGTCTGTGGTCAGTGACCATTTCCTGTAGCATGTCTACAGCCTTTGATAGCTAATGCACCACAATTCCTCACAAAACTTCCCCCCTGCCTTCTGGTGCGGGAGGGGGCGTGGCAGTGAATTCAATGACACCACATACACCCCCACGCAATGCGATCGGACACGTGGCAAAACTTTGCATGCGTTTTTTTCCAGTGCAAAAAAAAAAAAAAAATCAAGCAAGCTCTAATTTTTGCATTTGCAGTGGAAGGAAACGCAGGCAAAGTTTGGCCACGCGTCCGATCGCAGTGCGGGCGGGGGGTGTGTGGAAGCGGTGGCATTGAATTCAATGCACTGCCACGCCCCCCAGAACGCATAGCGCTCTGGAACGCACCGCATTCGCTGTGAACAAGGCCTAAGAGGTAAAACCCCAGCTAGTTTATATTATGTGGTCTGTATACCATCGGGGAAATTTCCCTTCACTTCCTGTAACACAACAAGAGGTTACAAAAAACAAGAGAACTCCCCTTTTTAGACAGTCAAGCATATGCTGACCTGACGGGCATTTTATTCCTCTCAGCCTCTTCACACTGATCCGTTTTCATGCAGGAAAACTCCAGAAATTGCTGCACGATGACGCATTGTGAGCAGAAATCCCATCGTTTCCTATGCGGTTCTCATCTGTGTCATGTAGTTTAGTGTGAAAGGGAAACAATACGGACCCGTTCACACATCCACATGGAACAGGGTGAATCCAATGTTTTGACGATGTTCACCAGTACAATGAGGGGTGAATCTCCCAAATGGTACAGGATTTTACATTGCCCCAATAAAAAAAAGTTTTGCCTACAGATCCACTTAGTATGTTGATGAATCTGAGGTGTCAGGACAGCCGATGTGTAAATACTGCCCCATATTAGTGACAAGGGCCCGGCTCACATCGATGACGTGCATTGTGTTATGGAAGCACATCTAAAGTAAGGTAGCACTCCACACAGAAGTCCGTTAGCATGTATTGTGGTGCACAGCAACACGTGTCCATTGGCACAGTGCATTGGGTGTCATTAGGAATGAATGGCACCAATGTGTGTTTTCATGCATTAGGGCAGCAGTGTGAAGGAAGAATGGGGACAGCCCTGGAACATGCATTGCCCGCTCTCTTATTCCTGTGACAACAGCCACCTGAAGGAACAGTGGAGCGGTTGCCTGTAGCAACCAGATAGCATGTTTCACTTTTCCAGTCAAATTAATGCCGATTGGTTGCTGTGGTCACGTGTCCTCTAGGCAAGCCAAGGGTGGGCAACTTCGGACCTCCAGCTGTTGGCGAACTACAATTCCTCCCATGAGGCACTGCAAGCCTGACAGTTACAGGCATGACTGAGAGGCATTCTGGGATTTGTAGTTAAAGTACAGCTGGATGGCTAGAAATGTCCACCCCCCGACATAAGCCATCTCAGTCTGAAAATCCCCTTCCCCCTCATCAGCCCGTGCGGTACCTGCAGACTCTCCTTCAGCTGCGGGATGAGCATCCTGTACCTCTGCACCGGGTCGAAGTCCTGCTGCTGTTGCTGCATTCCCATCTGCTGCTGCTGCTGCTGCTGCTGCTGCTGCTGCTGTTGCTGCTGTTGCTGCTGCGTTATTCCCCCAGGGCCCATTTGGGGTCCGAGGGGTCCGCCGCCCGCAGACGGCTGAAGGCCCAGCGCTTGGTTTAAGGGCGCCGCCATAACTCCAACTGAGAGTTCCCACACCACGTGACACTGCGAGACCAGCCCTAGCTATCAATCACAAGGCATTTCCAAGGAAACAGAAGCTCGGTGGGCAGTCTCTGAGACCCCGCCCCGTATTTTTTTTTGTTTGAACGATCTTTATTCAACAGAGGATGGCGCTTCGGTGTGCAAACTACCACTCCCACAATGCCATGCGGTTTTCAGGGCCCTTACTGCGGTGATGTCCATGTTTCTGCCTGTCGAGTGTATTGAAGGAGGCGGAGCGATTGAGGGCCCCGGATTCAGACTTGGGATGCCGACGGTTGTGGGGTCTGTGTTCTGAGAAAGCATGGCGCCCACTATCCAAACTCAAGCCCAGCGCGAAGAGGGCCATCGGTGAGTAATGACGTCATGCGTCCCGCGGACAGCAATCGCCTATTATTAGGAAAGGACGTCATTGCTGATGTCCATGTTGTTGGCATTTGAGCCACCTGGCTCTCTGAACACACCTGTAGGTCATACACAAAGGGGTCCCCTCTCCCCGTTTACTGTGTGAGGAACAAGGGCGATGCCATTACTCCCTTTTTTTGGGGAGGATATATCTCCATTGACAGCCTACATAGCCCCTCGGTGCAGATTTCCTTTAAAGTATATCTAAAGCCCAAACGGTTGTGTTCTTATTTTGCATAGAGTTGTGGAATGTTAGACCTACATTCAGAGTTTTGTTTTTGCCATCGGTGTCTCATTAGTGATATTTTCGTCACTTCCTGTTGAGTGATCACAACAGGAAGTAGGAATAGATCTTTCCAAAGCGAAGGAAATCGCCTCTTACGGTAGTTGTCATGGGACCAGATGTCTCCTTTGCATGATTTTTCCTCTATTTCCGTGGCAGCTTTTGGGCTTGCCCTCAATTTCATTCCCTGGGATGTTGATGATCAGGAAAATTGGAGAGAGTGTCGGTGACCTGTGGTGGTTGGAAGGAGGAAAGAGGGCCTATTGTTGGTGTCAGTGGGAGCAATGATGCCCCCTCGCTGGTGTCAGCGTGGACGATTGGTGCCCCCTCGCTGGTGTCAGCGTGGACGATTGGTGGCCCCTCGCTGGTGTCAGCGTGGACGATTGGTGGCCCCTCGCTGGTGTCAGCGTGGACGATTGGTGGCCCCTCGCTGGTGTCAGCGTGGACGATTGGTGGCCCCTCGCTGGTGTCAGCGTGGACGATTGGTGGCCCCTCGCTGGTGTCAGCGTGGACGATTGGTGGCCCCTCGCTGGTGTCAGCGTGGACGATTGGTGGCCCCTCGCTGGTGTCAGCGTGGACGATTGGTGGCCCCTCGCTGGTGTCAGCGTGGACGATTGGTGGCCCCTCGCTGGTGTCAGCGTGGACGATTGGTGGCCCCTCGCTGGTGTCAGCGTGGACGATTGGTGGCCCCTCGCTGGTGTCAGCGTGGACGATTGGTGGCCCCTCGCTGGTGTCAGCGTGGACGATTGGTGGCCCCTCGCTGGTGTCAGCGTGGACGATTGGTGGCCCCTCGCTGGTGTCAGCGTGGACGATTGGTGGCCCCTCGCTGGTGTCAGCGTGGACGATTGGTGGCCCCTCGCTGGTGTCAGCGTGGACGATTGGTGGCCCCTCGCTGGTGTCAGCGTGGACGATTGGTGGCCCCTCGCTGGTGTCAGCGTGGACGATTGGTGGCCCCTCGCTGGTGTCAGCGTGGACGATTGGTGGCCCCTCGCTGGTGTCAGCGTGGACGATTGGTGGCCCCTCGCTGGTGTCAGCGTGGACGATTGGTGGCCCCTCGCTGGTGTCAGCGTGGACGATTGGTGGCCCCTCGCTGGTGTCAGCGTGGACGATTGGTGGCCCCTCGCTGGTGTCAGCGTGGACGATTGGTGGCCCCTCGCTGGTGTCAGCGTGGACGATTGGTGGCCCCTCGCTGGTGTCAGCGTGGACGATTGGTGGCCCCTCGCTGGTGTCAGCGTGGACGATTGGTGGCCCCTCGCTGGTGTCAGCGTGGACGATTGGTGGCCCCTCGCTGGTGTCAGCGTGGACGATTGGTGGCCCCTCGCTGGTGTCAGCGTGGACGATTGGTGGCCCCTCGCTGGTGTCAGCGTGGACGATTGGTGGCCCCTCGCTGGTGTCAGCGTGGACGATTGGTGGCCCCTCGCTGGTGTCAGCGTGGACGATTGGTGGCCCCTCGCTGGTGTCAGCGTGGACGATTGGTGGCCCCTCGCTGGTGTCAGCGTGGACGATTGGTGGCCCCTCGCTGGTGTCAGCGTGGACGATTGGTGGCCCCTCGCTGGTGTCAGCGTGGACGATTGGTGGCCCCTCGCTGGTGTCAGCGTGGACGATTGGTGGCCCCTCGCTGGTGTCAGCGTGGACGATTGGTGGCCCCTCGCTGGTGTCAGCGGGGAGGACTGGCGCCACCTCGCTGGTGTCATTCCTCCCCGCTGACACCAGTGATGGGGCATCATTCCTCCCCGCTAACACCAGCGAGGTGGCGCCAATCTCTCTGCATATTCCCCTGAGAAGCTCGGTTGCTGTGGCCGTTATCAGGGGGGTTCCCATGTTTGTGGGGGAGTTGTAATGTATATGATTATGGAGAATGTAGGTGGAGTGGTAAGATCAGTCTCAGCGGGAGGCCCATTGTTATCTGCAACTTTTATGTCCACCTCTATTTCATTCCATACCTGACACAGTTCTGTTTTTACCTTTTCAGGTCCAATTCCCACCGAACAGTTCCAGAGCGGTGAGTTGTAAGATCCAGTGTGTGGGGTTATTATCTGCATACTTATTATGGATCAGTGGATGGATGTAATTGATTTGTTTTTTTGGGGCACCGGATAAGGGGCTGCCATCGTTATCCTTCCATCTGTGCTTGAATCACTGATCCATAGTATGTCCCTATCAGGTGTCCCGATACTTGTTTTCAGTCAGTGACTCGGTAAGCAATGCAGCAAGGATAAAGATGACTGCCCGGAGTATGCACCTTCAAACACAGTGGGGGGATTTATCAAAACTGGAGCAGTTGCCTATGGCAACCAATCAGCTTCTCTCTTCAGTGTGTTGTGTTAAGATTTGAAAATGAAAGACAGAAGCTGATTGGTTGTCATGCACAGCTGCTCCAGTTTTGATAAATTCCCATCAATGTGTCACAGTAAAGTATTTCTGGGTGACGCTTCATACATTGTTTTTCTCTGATAGAGGGATTCTCATACCCTCAACTTCACGTACCGAGTGCAAGTACGCAGTGCTGGGAGTCAGACAGTGGCATCTTTCAGCTCAGCCAGAACAATGTGACTGGTTCCTGAGTTCTGTGTTCATTTTTCCAGGCCTGAGCAGCTTTTCCTGTACAATGTTTATTATTATTATTATGATGATATAGGATTTATATAGTGCCAACATTTTGCGCAGCGCTTTACAATATAAGGAAGACATTACAATCACAATACAATTCAAGACAAGATGGTGAGGAGGGCCCTGCCCATGAGGGCAGGGGGAAGGGGCCAGTGATACATGTGTGGGGATGAATTGTTTGAGAATGTGAAGGTTCAGTGGTTAGGTTGAGGTGGGATAGGCTTCCCTGAAGAGATGAGTCTTAAGGGATCGCCTAAAGGCAGTCAGAGTGGGAGATAGATGAACAGGTTGGGGTAAAGAGTTCCAGAGGATGGGAGAGACTCTAGAGAAGTCCTGGATGTGAGCATGGGAGGAGTTGACGAGGGAGCTGGAAAGCAGGAGGTCTTGGGAGGAGCGGAGGGGACGGTTAGGGTGATATTTTGAGACAAGGTCTGAGATATAGCCGGGGGCAGAGTTGTGGATGGCTTTATAAGTGATTGTTAATATTTTGAATTTTATCCTTTGGGCTATTGGAAGCCAGTGCAGGGATTGGCAGAGGGGGGTTGCAGACACTGAGCGGTTGGTTAGGTGGATGAGTCTAGCAGCTGCATTCATGATAGACTGAAGGGGGGATATCCTGTGTAGGAGGTAGGTCAATGAGGAAGGAGTTGCAATAGTCAAGACGAGAGATAACAAGCGAGGGGATGAGTAGTTTTTTCTTTGGTGAGGAAGGAGCGTATTTTGGAGATGTTACGAAGGTGGAGGCGGCATGATTTGGATAGGGATTGGATGTGGGGAAGAAAGGTGAGGTCTGAGTCAAGGATGACACCTAGGACCTTGGCATGGGAGGAGGGCTGGATAGTTGTGTTAACAATCTCAAGGGAAAAGTTGGGGGAAGGTGCACGGGCAGGAGGAAATATCATGAGCTCAGTTTTTGAAAGATTGAGTTTTAGAAGAAGTGTTGCGACATCCAGATAGATATGTCAGTTAGTAGATTAGTGACACGCAAGGACACTGAGGGGGTGAGTTGTGGAGTAGAAAGATATATTTGAGTGTCATCGGCATAGAGATGGTATTGGAAGCCATGTGAGGTTATTAACTGACCAAGAGAGGAGATGTAGATAGAGAAGAGAAGGGGTCCAAGGACAGAGCCTTGGGGGACCCCTACAGGACGAGGAGGGGAGGAGTTAGATTTGTAGGTGACGCTAAAGGAGCACTTTTCCTTGCAGATAGTGACCTGACCGGAATTTGAACCAGGGACCAGTGCTGCAATTTGCCCCCCAGCCTCAGTTTGTACAATCCAGATTTCTTATTTTCTATCCGTTTCTGCAGGTCTGGAATTGTGTGTCGGGTGAAATACTGCAACAGCTTACCAGATATTCCCTTTGATCCCAAATTCATCACTTACCCATTTGATCAAAACAGGTAAGCGGGTGTAACAAATGGTAATGTTTGCCTAGAAGCCAGCACTCTTCTGACCAGGCTTGGTGTCTTCTTCCAGATTTGTGCAGTATAAAGCCACATCGCTTGAAAAACAACACAAACACGACCTTCTAACCGAGCCAGACCTGGGAGTCACCATTGACCTGATCAACCCTGATACATACCGCATTGACGCCAATGGTGAGTGAGGACGCAGGGCCGCTTCACCTCCTGTCACCGCAGACCTTTGTCTGGTGTTTACATTCACCACACACATTACAGTCTAATTGTACAATCTCATTTAGATCTAGCAACAAGTATGTAGTGCAAGGGCCTGATTGGATACAGATTAGGAAGGTCCTCATATAGTTTTGGTAGATCTAAAGTTAATTCTACAAAGGCTGTATAGTCGGATTGTAACATGTACGGTGAGCCGTACGCCTGTCCTCTGGATCGGAATATAGAACACTGACACTTTTCAGCAGACATGACGGAGAATATTGAACCATTCTCATCAGTCACAACCACTTTACATATATAAGTCTTTGCTTCTGGTTTGCATGTGTTTTGCATGCTGTACCATAGTAATAAGGCAGCAGAATTCTTG